GTTATTGTAGCTTAATATAAAGCATGGCACTGAAGACGCCAAGATGGATATTAATAAACCCGAATAACACAAAGATTTGGTCCTAATCTTAATGTTACTTTTTACTAAACCTACACATGTAAGTATCAGCAAACCAGTGAAAATGCCCTAAAAGTCCACACCAGACAAAAGGAGCTGGTATCAGGCACGCCACGACAGCCCAAAACACCTTGCTTCGCCACACCCCCAAGGGTACTACAACAGTGATTAACTTTAAGCAATAAGCATAAGCTTGACTTAGTTATAGTAAATTACATTCAGGGTTGGTAAATCTCGTGCCAGCCACCGCGGTTATACAAGAAACCCAAAGCAACAATAACAACGGCGTAAAATGTGGTTAAACCAAATTCATAAAAACCTAAGGTTGCCCCTTCCACCAAACTGTCATACGTAAAGTACAAATCAACCCAATACGAAAGTAACCTTAATATATTAGAAAACTTGAATCCACGATCGTTAAGACACAAACTGGGATTAGATACCCCACTATGCTTAACCCTAAACTTAGATATTTTAAATACAAAATTATCCGCCAGAAAACTACGAGCAAAACGCTTAAAACTCCAAGGACTTGGCGGTACCTCAAATCCACCTAGAGGAGCCTGTTCTATAATCGATAATCCACGATAAACCTCACCATCCTTTGCCAACTCAGCCTATATACCACCGTCACAGCCTACCTTATGAAAGTCAAAAAGTAAGCTCAATAGCTATTACAGCTAAAAAGTCAGGTCAAGGTGTAGCCAATTAAGATGGAAGAAATGGGCTACATTTTCTATAATAGAAATTAAACCACGGAACAGAACTATGAAACACAGTCTAGATTAAGAAGGATTTAGCAGTAAATTGAGAATAGAGAGCCCAATTTAAAGCGGACCTGAGGTGCGCACACACCGCCCGTCACCCCCATCAACCAACAAATATTTAACCGTAAATAACACCTTATCCAACACAAACAGATGGGGCAAGTCGTAACAAGGTAAGTGTACCGGAAGGTGTACTTGGACTACAAAATATAGCTTAACCTAAAGCATTCAGTTTACACCTGAAACATACCCACCAAACCAGGGTTATTTTGATTTTGAGCAAAATCTTTAGCTCGATTAACTAACATAACCCAACTAAACCATAATATTTATTAAAACCAAACTAAAACATTCTCATTAATCCTAGTACGGGCGACAGAAAAGATTACACGAAGCAATATAAATAGTACCGCAAGGGAAAATTGAAAAAATGAACAAACTCTAAGCCAAAAAAAGCAAAGGTTAAACCTTGTACCTTTCGCATTATGATTTAGCCAGCAATAACTAAGCAAAGAGAACTGAAGTTTAAAACCCCGAAACTAAGTGAGCTACTCAAAGGCAGCCAATTAATCCAAAGCTACAATCATCTCTGTGGCAAAAGAGTGATAAGACCTTTAAGTAGAGGTGAAAAGCCTAACGAACCTAGTGATAGCTGGTTGCTCAATAAAAGAGTATAAGCTCAACCCTAAACAATCTAAAAACAACCAAAAGTTAAAAGAAAATTTTAGGAGCTATTCAATTAGGGTACAGCCAAATTGAAACAGGATACAACCTAAAACGAAGGATAAAATATCCAACAATTTAACCTACGTAGGCCCTAAAGCAGCCACCACCAAAGAAAGCGTCAAAGCTCCACCTATACAAATATTAACAATAATTTACTCCTCAAACAACACTGAGCCATTCTACTAAAATAGAAGAACCAATGCTAAAATGAGTAACAAGAAGACAAACTTCTCTTTATACGCCAGCTTAAATCAGAACAGACAAACTACTGATTATTAACAACCTCTATAAGAACAACAATATTAAACATAACATATAACATAAACTGTTAACCCAACACAGGAGCGTAGGATAAGAAAGATTAAAATCTGTAAAAGGAACTAAGCAAACAAAGAGCCCGACTGTTTACCAAAAACATAGCCCCTAGCAACAACAAGTATTAGGGGTGATGCCTGCCCAGTGATAATATTCAACGGCCGCGGTATCCTAACCGTGCAAAGGTAGCGTAATCACTTGTCCTTTAAATAAGGACTCGTATGAAAGGCTAAACGAGGCTCTATCTGTCTCTTACAGCTAATCAGTGAAATTGATCTCCCTGTGCAAAAGCAGGAATACAAATATAAGACGAGAAGACCCTGCGGAACTTAAATAAATCATCAACCAACACCACACTCACCCTAATGGTTTATAAACAAAGTAAATAACTGATGCATACTTTTGGTTGGGGCGACCTCGGAGCAAAACAAAACCTCCGAAAAAAGAACACAACCCTTTACTTAGCCAAACAAATCAAAGTGTTCACAACAAAATGATCCAATCCATTTGATCAACGAACAAAGCTACCCCAGGGATAACAGCGCAATCCCGTCACAGAGTCCTTATCGACGACGGGGTTTACGACCTCGATGTTGGATCAGGACATCCTAATGGTGCAACAGCTATTAAGGGTTCGTTTGTTCAACGATTAAAGTCCTACGTGATCTGAGTTCAGACCGGAGCAATCCAGGTCGGTTTCTATCTATAATTTAATCTTTTCCAGTACGAAAGGACCGAAAAGAAAAGGCCTATATTGATAATACGCCTTAAACTTATATTAGTGAATATAACTGAACTAACAATAAGAACATTACCACCAACCCAAAACATAGGGTTAATTGGGGTGGCAGAGCCAGGTAATTAATGCAAAAGACCTAAACCCTTTATTCAGGGGTTCAACTCCCCTCCCCAATTATGTCTTCATTATTATCTAATTTATTATCACCCCTAATGTACATAATTCCTATTTTAATTGCCGTAGCCTTTTTTACTTTAATTGAACGAAAAATCTTAGGTTATATACAACTACGAAAAGGTCCTAATATCGTAGGCCCATACGGCCTATTACAACCCGTAGCAGACGGGATAAAATTATTTACAAAAGAACCGATCTACCCTATAAATTCATCCCCTATACTATTTATCCTTGCCCCAACCCTTGCCCTATTACTAGCCCTATCAGTTTGAATACCACTACCAATACCATTCCCACTTGCGAACCTTAATTTAGGCTTCCTTTTCTTAATCGCCATTTCTAGCTTTACAGTATACTCAATTATATGGTCCGGTTGAGCCTCAAACTCAAAATACGCCCTAATAGGAGCCCTACGAGCAGTCGCACAAACCATCTCCTACGAAGTAACCCTTGGCATCATTCTTATCTCAATAGTCTTATTCTGCGGCGACTTCAACATACAAACCTTTATAACAACTCAAGAACCAATACTACTAGTTTTCTCCTCATGACCATTAATAATAATATGATATATTTCTACCCTAGCAGAAACAAACCGATCACCATTCGACCTCACAGAAGGAGAATCCGAACTCGTATCGGGTTTTAACGTAGAGTATGCCGCAGGTCCATTCGCATTACTATTTTTAGCAGAGTATGCCAACATCCTAATAATAAATATAATTACCACTATTATATTCCTCAATTCACCTATAACTACTAACCAACCAGAATTATTCACCACATTTCTAATCCTAAAAACCATACTATTATCAGCAAGCTTCCTATGAGTACGCGCCTCCTACCCACGATTCCGATATGATCAATTAATATTTCTATTATGAAAAAATTTTCTTCCTATCACATTAGCATTATGCCTATGACATAGCTCTATAATTATTACATTTGCTGGACTACCTCCCATACTCTAGGACACGTGCCTGAATTAAAGGGTTACCTTGATAGGGTAAACAACAGAGGTTCCAACCCTCTCGTCTCCTTAGAAAAATAGGACTTGAACCTACACCTAAGAGATCAAAACTCTTTATACTCCCATTATATTATATTCTATTCTAGTAAAGTCAGCTAATCAAGCTTTTGGGCCCATACCCCAACAATGTTGGTTTAAATCCTTCCTCTACTAATGAATCCACACGCAAACATAATTATTATATCAAGCTTAATTTTAGGACCAATAATTACAATCACAAGCAATCACTGAATTATAGCATGAGTAGGACTAGAAATCAATATACTAGCAATCATCCCACTAATCGCCAAACAACACCACCCACGAGCAATCGAAGCCTCCATTAAATACTTCCTAACCCAAGCCGCAGCTTCATCATTACTCCTATTCTCTATCATTAACAATGTTTGAAATACAGGACAATTCGACATCACACAATCAACAAACACAATATCCAGCACAATAATGACTGCTGCACTAACAATGAAACTAGGATTAGCCCCATTCCATTATTGACTCCCAGAAACCCTACAAGGCACCACAACAATAATAACCTTAATCCTAACAACCTGACAAAAACTAGCCCCACTAACTCTACTAATAATAATTAACCAATCCTTAAATACATCATTATTAGTAACACTAAGCCTACTATCTATAATAATTGGAGGATGAGGAGGATTAAACCAAACCCAACTACGAAAAATCATAGCATTTTCTTCAATTGCACACCTAGGATGAATAACCATAATCCTAACCTTATCAACTAAACTAACATTATTAACCTTCTATACATACATTACCTTAACTACAACAATATTATTAACAATCAAACTATTAGAAACCAACAAAATATCCACAGCAATAACATCATGAACAAAATCACCAATATTAAACGCCATAATAATACTTAACTTAATATCACTAGCAGGCCTCCCCCCATTAACAGGATTCATACCAAAATGATTAATTCTCCAAGAACTAACCAAAAACCACATAACAATCATTGCAACAACATCAGCCATCCTCTCATTATTAAGCCTATTCTTCTATATCCGAATCGCATACTACTCAACCATCACACTACCCCCAAACATAACTAATTATTCACAACAATGGCGACATAAAAATCAACAAAAACCCTATTTACCCTTAATAATTATTACCTCCTCCATACTCACTCCAATCATACCCACATTTATAATAATTATATAGAAACTTAGGATAACGTTTAAACCAGGGGCCTTCAACCCCCCAAATAAGAGCCAAACAACTCTTAGTTTCTGCAACCACCCACTAAGACTTATAAGACCCTATCCTATATCTTCTGAATGCAACCCAGATACTTTAATTAAGCTAAAGCCTTACTAGACAAATCGGCCTTGATCCCATAAACAATTTAGTTAACAGCTAAACACCCTATCCTGCGGGCTTTTGCTTAAAAATTTCCCGCTTTAAAAGTAAAAGCGGGAAAACCAGGACACCAATTAAAAGTGTATTTGCAGATTTGCAATCTGATGTGAACTTCACTACAAGGTTATAAGAAGGGGAATTAACCCCTGTGAAAAGGTTTACAGCCTAACGCCTACTCAGCCATCTTACCAGTGACTTTAACCCGTTGATTATTTTCTACTAACATAAAGACATTGGCACCCTTTATTTTCGGTGCCTGAGCAGGTATAGTTGGTACAGCCTTGAGCTTATTAATCCGAGCAGAACTAAGTCAACCTGGCACTCTTTTAGGGGACGACCAGATTTATAATGTAATTGTTACAGCACATGCTTTTGTTATGATCTTCTTTATAGTCATACCTGTAATAATTGGGGGGTTCGGTAACTGACTTGTACCCTTAATAATTGGAGCCCCAGACATAGCATTCCCACGAATAAATAATATAAGTTTTTGACTACTACCCCCCTCATTACTACTTCTCCTAGCATCATCAGGCATTGAAACAGGAGCAGGAACTGGCTGAACCGTTTATCCCCCATTAGCTAGCAACCTAGCCCATGTGGGCGCATCAGTAGACTTAACTATTTTCTCCTTACATCTAGCTGGAGTATCTTCAATCCTTGGGGCTATCAATTTTATTACTACAGCTATTAATATAAAATCCCCAACAATATCACAATACCAAACTCCCTTATTCGTTTGATCAGTAGTTATTCAGCCGTACTATTATTACTTTCACTACCAGGGGTTAGCCCGCCAGGCATTTACAATATTACTCACAGACCGAAACCTGAATACTACCTTTTTTGATCCTTCTGGAGGAGGAGATCCTATCCTATATCAACATTTATTCTGATTCTTCGGTCACCCAGAAGTTTACATCCTCATCCTCCCTGGGTTTGGCATAATCTCCCATGTAGTAACGTACTATGCTAATAAAAAAGAACCATTCGGCTATATAGGAATAGTATGAGCAATAATATCAATTGGTTTCCTAGGATTCATTGTATGGGCCCATCATATGTTCACTGTAGGTATAGATGTAGACACACGAGCCTACTTTACATCAGCTACAATAATTATTGCTATCCCGACAGGAGTAAAAGTATTTAGCTGATTAGCCACATTACACGGAGGCCTCATTAAATGAGACGCTGCTATACTATGAGCCCTAGGTTTTATTTTCCTATTTACAATTGGAGGCTTAACAGGTATCGTTTTAGCCAACTCATCATTAGACATTGTATTACACGACACATACTACGTCGTAGCCCATTTCCACTATGTATTATCAATAGGAGCTGTATTTGCTATTATAGCAGGTTTTACCCATTGATTCCCACTTTTCTCTGGTTATTCACTACACCAAACCTGAACCAAAGTACATTTTGGGGTGATATTTGCAGGTGTAAATATAACATTTTTCCCACAACACTTCCTAGGGCTAGCGGGTATACCACGACGCTATTCTGACTACCCAGATGCCTATACCCTATGAAACACCATCTCATCTATCGGATCATTAATCTCCCTAATTGCAGTAATCATAATAATATTCATTATCTGAGAAGCATTCTCATCAAAACGAAAAGTTACAATAATTGAACTCACAACCACCAACGTAGAATGACTTCACGGATGCCCCCCTCCATATCACACCTATGAAGAACCCACCCATGTACAAAACACAAGAAAGGAAGGATTTGAACCTCCTTAAGTTAGTTTCAAGCCAACCACATGACCTTCATGTTTCTTTCTCAAAGACGTTAGTAAACACATTACATAGCTTTGTCAAAGCTAAATTATAGGTTTAAATCCTTTACGACTTAATGGCCCACCCATTACAATTAGGATTCCAAGACGCAATATCACCAATTATAGAAGAATTATTACACTTTCATGACCATACCTTAATAATTGTATTCTTAATTAGTACCATAGTACTTTATATCATCACATCAATAATAACAACAAAACTAACACATACCAATACTATAAATGCCCAAGAAGTAGAAATTATTTGAACTATCCTCCCAGCTATTGTCCTAATTACTATTGCATTACCCTCATTACGCGTCTTATATTTGATAGACGAAATTAACAACCCATATTTAACCATCAAAGCTATAGGCCATCAATGATACTGAACCTATGAATACACCGATTACGAAAACCTTGAATTCGACTCATATATAATCCCAACCCAAGACCTACCAAAAGGATACTTTCGATTACTAGAAGTTGATCACCGTATGGTAGTTCCAATAGAATCTCCTATTCGAATATTAATTTCAGCCGAAGACGTTTTACATTCATGAGCAATACCATCATTGGGGGTAAAAACCGATGCCATCCCAGGACGATTAAATCAAACAACCTTCACTATAACACGCCCAGGTATTTTCTACGGACAATGCTCAGAAATCTGCGGAGCAAACCACAGCTTTATACCAATCGTAGTAAAATCAATCCCACTAAAACTTTTCGAAAACTGATCCTCACTAATACTCTCCTAAACACTATAGAAGCTAAACAGGATAGCGCTAGCCTTTTAAGCTAGAAAAAGAGAACTTACCACCCTCCTTAGTGATATGCCACAATTAAACCCTAACCCATGATTATCCATTTTATTAACCACATGATTAGTCTATATTATAATTTATCAACCAAAAATTATCTCACTCCTACAAACAAATAACATCAACCACAACCTTAAACCCTTAAATATTAATTCCTGAAACTGACCATGAACTTAACAATTTTTGATCAATTCTTAAGCCCACAAATCCTAGGATTACCATTAATAACATTAGCCATTATTTTACCATCAATAATATGACCCTCCCAAAACAATCGATGATTAAACAATCGCCTTTCAACTTTACAATCATGATTTATTAATATAATTACAAAACAACTAATAATACCAATCAATAAGTCAGGACATCAATGATCTACAATCTTAATATCATTAATTATTCTTCTACTAACTGTTAACCTATTAGGATTATTACCATACACATTCACACCAACTACACAACTCTCAATAAATATAGCACTAGCTATCCCATTATGATTAGCCACCGTACTCACAGGACTACGAAACCAAACAACAAAATCACTAGGACACCTCTTACCAGAAGGCACGCCCGCTCCACTTATCCCAACCCTTATTATCATCGAAACTATTAGTTTATTAATCCGACCTTTAGCTTTAGGTGTGCGACTAACAGCCAACCTAACAGCTGGGCATCTATTAATTCAATTAATCTCCACCACCATCATCATCCTATTACCAACAGCACCAATATTATCTATATTAACCTCAATTATCCTATTATTACTAACACTACTAGAATTAGCTGTCGCATTGATCCAAGCATACGTATTCGTTTTACTATTAAGCCTATACTTACAAGAAAATGTCTAATGGCCCACCAAACACATGCCTACCACATAGTAGACCCAAGCCCATGACCCCTAACAGGAGCAACAGCAGCATTACTATTAACCTCAGGCCTAGCAATATGATTTCACTATAACTCAACAACACTAATAACCTTAGGCCTACTAACTACACTCATAACAATGATACAATGATGACGGGATATTGTACGAGAAAGTACATTTCAAGGACACCACACTATACCTGTACAAAAAGGCCTACGATACGGAATAATTCTATTCATCACATCAGAAGTATTCTTTTTTATCGGTTTCTTCTGAGCTTTCTACCATTCAAGTCTAGCCCCAACCCCAGAACTAGGAGGAAGCTGACCTCCAACAGGAATTCACCCATTAAACCCATTTGAAGTCCCTTTATTAAATACAGCAGTACTATTAGCTTCAGGTGTAACAATCACCTGAGCTCACCATAGCCTAATAGCAGCTAACCGAAATCAATCAATCCAAGCATTAACTATTACTGTTACATTAGGATTATACTTCACAGCCCTACAAGCCATAGAATATTATGAGGCACCATTCACAATCGCCGATGGAGTCTATGGCTCCACATTCTTCGTAGCAACAGGATTTCATGGCCTACATGTAATTATTGGATCAACATTCCTAATCGTATGTCTACTACGACTAATCAAATTCCACTTCACCACTGCCCACCATTTTGGTTTTGAAGCAGCCGCATGATATTGACACTTTGTAGATGTCGTCTGACTGTTCCTATATATTTCAATTTACTGATGAGGTTAATACTTTTCTAATATAATCAGTATAAATGACTTCCAATCATTTAGTTTCAGTTTTAAACCTGAAGAAAAGTAATGAATACAACAACCTCACTCATTATTCTAGCATTAATTATCTCAATTACCCTAATTATACTTAATAACCAATTGACTATAACAAAACCAAATAATGATAAATTATCCCCATACGAATGCGGATTCGACCCATTAAAAACTATACGCCTACCATTCTCAATTCGCTTTTTCCTTAGTAGCAATTCTATTTCTGCTATTTGACTTAGTAAAATTGCACTCCTTCTACCCCTCCCATGAGCCATTCAATTAATAGCTCCTACATACACCCTTACATGAACTATCACTATCCTCCTCCTTCTTACATTTGGTTTCATTTACGAATGAATCCAAGGAGGACTAGAATGAGCATAAGGTAACTAATTTAAACTAAAATAACTAATTTCGACTTAGCTAATCATGATTAATAAACATGGTTACCTTATGACACCCTTACACCTCAGCTATTTTATAGCATTTATTATCAGCATAACAGGATTTATACTACACCGAACCTCTTTAATTTCAACCTTATTATGTTTAGAAGCCATAATACTATCATTATTTATCGCCACATCATTATGCCCAATTCAACTCCAAACCACATCATTTATATTAAACCCTATATTAATCCTAACATTTTCAGCATGTGAGGCTAGCCTTGGATTATCCCTACTAGTAGCATCATCACGAACCCACAACCCAAACAACCTACAAAACCTAAACCTATTACAATGTTAAAAATTATTATCCCAACAATCATATTAATCCCTACTACTACAATATGTAAACCAACACAATTATGATATACCACATTAATTCACAGCATACTAATTTCATTATTAAGCCTACAACTATTTTATCCCTCATTACAACCAATTATAAACTTCTCAAATCATAATATAGCAGCAGACCAAACATCAACCCCTCTTATTATCTTATCATGTTGACTCACCCCATTAATAATTCTAGCTAGTCAAAACCACCTATCAACAGAACCCCTATCACGAAAACGAACCTTCATTATCACTACAATCATTCTCCAAATATTACTTATCATAACATTCTCAACCACAGACCTAATAATATTTTTCGTACTTTTCGAAGCCACACTAATCCCAACATTAATAATAATTACACGATGAGGTAATCAAATAGAACGACTAAATGCTGGAACCTACTTCCTATTTTATACACTAATAGGATCACTACCTCTACTAGTTGCTCTGCTATCTTTATATTCCAATACAAATTCACTCTCCATCCTCACTATACAACTAAGTCCAACAATATTAAAAAACACATGAACAAACTCAATATGACTACTAGCCGCACTAACCGCCTTCATAATTAAAATACCACTATACGGTTTACATTTATGATTACCAAAAGCACATGTCGAAGCCCCAATTGCAGGGTCAATAATCTTAGCTGCCATTCTATTAAAACTAGGTGGATACGGCATTATCCGAATTATATCAACCACTAACTTCTTATCAAAAACACCATATTACCCATTCATAATTCTAGCATTATGAGGAATTATCATAACAAGCCTAATCTGCCTACGCCAAACAGACCTAAAATCACTAATCGCCTACTCATCGGTGAGCCATATAGGCCTTGTTACCGCTGCAACACTTACACAAACAGAATGAGCCTACACCGGAGCCATCACCCTTATAATTGCCCACGGCCTAACATCATCATTATTATTTTGCTTAGCTAATACAAACTACGAACGAATCCACAGCCGAACACTATTATTAACCCAAAATATACAACTATTACTCCCCCTAATAGGTACATGATGACTACTAGCTAGCCTAACCAATATAGCTCTCCCACCCACCATTAATCTTATAGGTGAATTAACAATTATCACATCACTCTTCAACTGATCTAACACTACAATCATCATTACAGGATTAGGCACCCTAATCACCGCCATCTATACCTTACATATGTTCTCCTCAACCCAATGGGGAGAATTACCACAACACATTAAAATTATAGCACCATCACATACACGAGAACACCTCATTATAACACTCCACATCCTACCCATAACACTACTAATAATAAAACCAGAACTAATCTGAGGCCCACTCTACTGTTAATGTAGTTTAAAATAAAATATTAGACTGTGGCTCTAAAGACAGAAGTTTAAACCTTCTTATAAACCGAGAAAGTAATGATAGAAACTGCTAATTCCTATTGCCTGAGATTAAATTCACAGCTTTCTCACTTTCAAAGGATAACAGCTTAATCCACTGGTTTTAGGAACCACAACCTCTTGGTGCAATTCCAAGTGAAAGTAATGACAGCACTTTTTAACTCAACATTATTATTAGCACTTATAACCCTCACCATACCACTTAACCCTCACATACCACTTATAAATTTACCATTAAGCATAAAACCAAAAACCGCCGTAAAAATAGCATTCTTCATCACCATAATTCCACTAATCATATTTATCTCCTCTAACACCGAATCTATTATTACTAACTGATCTTGAACAATAACCTCAACATTCACAATATCAATGAGCTTAAAATTCGACCAATACTCCATCATATTCATCCCAGTAGCCCTTTATGTAACCTGATCCATCCTAGAGTTCACCCACTGATATATAACAACAGACCCATATATTACAAAATTCTTTAAATATCTATTAATCTTCCTAATCGCCATAATAACATTAGTTACTGCCAACAATATATTCCAATTCTTTATTGGATGAGAAGGCGTTGGAATTATATCTTTCATATTAATCGGTTGATGACATAGCCGACTAGAAGCCTGCTCATCAGCCTTACAAGCCATTATCTATAACCGCGCAGGCGACATCGGATTAATCCTCACCATAGCTTGAATAGCAACAAACCTCAACTCATGAGAACTTCAACAAATCTTCTCCCACACTAACCCAATCCCATTACTTCCACTGTTAAGCCTTACCCTAGCAGCAACTGGAAAATCAGCCCAATTTGGACTTCACCCATGACTACCAGCAGCAATAGAAGGCCCCACCCCAGTCTCAGCCCTACTCCACTCCAGCACTATAGTTGTAGCAGGTATTTTCCTACTTATCCGAACCCACCCAATACTTTCAACAAACAACACAGCCCTTACAACCTGCCTTTGCCTTGGTGCTTTAACTACCCTATTTACAGCAATTTGTGCCACCACCCAAAATGATATTAAAAAAATCATTGCCTTCTCTACATCCAGCCAACTAGGCTTAATAATAGTAACCATTGGCCTTAATCAACCTCACTTAGCCTTCCTCCACATCACTATACATGCCTTCTTCAAAGCAATATTATTCCTATGTTCTGGCTTAATCATTCACAGCCTAAATAATGAACAAGACATTCGAAAAATAGGAGGACTACATAAACCCCTCCCAATTACCTCCTCATGCCTAACTATTGGAAACCTAGCCTTATCAGGATTCCCATTCCTAACAGGATTTTACTCCAAAGACATCATCATCGAAACCATAAACACATCCCACATAAACGCCTGAGCCCTTCTCCTAACATTAGCTGCAACCTCACTCACAGCAGCCTATAGCCTACGAATCACAATTCTTGTTCAAATAGGACAACCACGATTTCAGCCCATACTTCCAATTAATGAAAATTATTACACAGCAACTAGCCCTATCATTCGATTAGCAGCAGGAAGCATTATTGCCGGCTTACTAATCTCGCTAAACACAACCCCAATGAAAACACCACAAATAACCATACCCCACCATATAAAACTATCAGCATTAATCATAACAATCATAGGCTTAACCCTAGCCCTTGAACTAATCACAATAACCAACAAAAGCACAAAACCATCAAAAATCCACACCTTTTCAAATTTATTAATATACTTCAACACCTTAATCCACCGTTCACTTACCCTCCTTAACCTAAAATTTAGCCAAAACACTGCAACACACCTAACCGACCTAATTTGATACGAAAACATCGGCCCAAAATGAATAACAAAATCACAAACAAATCCTATCACAACGATATCATCACAAAAAGGACTAATCAAAATCTACCTTACCTCATTCCTACTATCGATCACCATACTCCTTCTTACCTAATAGAACGAATAGTCCCCCAAGCCAAACCACGTACCAAATCTAATACAACAAACAACGTCAACAATAAACCCCAACCCGCAATCAAAAATATTACACACCCATAAGAATAAAATCACGACACCCCAATATAATCCATACGAACACTAAACAGACCACTAGCATCCATCACCACATCACCATACCCCTCTAAACTTCACTTATCAAAACAATACATAACTGCACCAACAACAAACAAAACATAACCAACTATACAAAATAAATCCCCGTACCCACGCCAAGCCGAAGGATATGGATCCCCCGTCAAAGCCACAGAATAAGCAAAAACCACTAACATACCTCCCAAATAAATCAAAAACAAAACCAAAGAAATAAATGACCCACCCACCCCAACCAACATTAAACATCCAAAAACCGCCCCAAAAACCAAACCAACAACCCCATAATAAGGAGAGGGACCAGAAGCTACACTAATAATTCAAAAAACAAAACAAACCTCAAATAAAAATATAAAAAACACCATTATTATTGCCTGGACTTTAACCAAGACTAATGATTTGAAAAACCACCGTTGTATTCAACTACAAAAATTTTATGGCCACCAACCTACGAAAAAACCCACCCAATAATTAAAATCATTAACAACTCACTAATTGACCTACCAAGTCCATCCAACATTTCCATTTGATGAAACTTTGGATCATTATTAGGAGCCTGCTTAATACTACAAATCATCACAGGCCTATTCCTAGCCATACATTACTCACCAAACATCTCAACAGCATTCTCGTCAATCGCCCACATTACCCGAGATGTACAATACGGTTGACTAATCCGCAACATACACGCTAACGGAGCCTCACTATTCTTCATGTGTATCTACCTACATATTGGACGAGGCCTATACTATGGATCCTACCTTTATAAACAAACCTGAAACATTGGGGTAATCCTCCTACTACTAACCATAGCCACTGCATTCATGGGCTATGTCCTACCATGAGGACAAATATCATTCTGAGGCGCCACAGTTATTACAAACCTACTCTCAGCTGTACCATATATCGGTACTACAATAGTGCAATGAGTATGAGGTGGTTTCTCCGTAGACAACGCCACTTTAACACGATTCTTTACCCTACATTTTTTACTACCATTCATAATCCTAGGCCTAACCATAATTCACTTACTTTTATTACACGAAACAGGATCAAACAACCCAACAGGACTTAACTCAAACATTGACAAAATCCCATTCCATCCTTACTTCTCATACAAAGATCTCCTAGGATTCATAATAACACTTACCCTACTTCTATCCATCGCCATATTTTACCCAAACCTATTAGGAGACCCAGATAACTTCACACCAGCCAACCCACTATCCACCCCACCCCACATCAAACCAGAATGATATTTCCTATTCGCCTACGCTATCCTACGATCTATCCCTAACAAATTAGGAGGCGTACTAGCCCTACTACTCTCCATCTTAGTATTATTTATCTTACCCCTACTACACACATCAAAACAACGAACACTAACATTCCGCCCTATCACCCAAACACTATTCTGATTATTTGTGGCTAACCTTATAGTATTAACATGAATCGGAGGAAAACCAGTAGAAAACCCATTCATCATTATCGGCCAAGCATCCTCCATCCTTTACTTTTTAATCCTACTAGTATTAATACCAATCTCAAACATAATTGAAAATAAAACAACCAATTAAACTACTCAAGTAGCTTAATAACCAAAGCATTGGTCTTGTAAACCAAAGAATGAAGGCCTCCCAACCTTCCTAGAGTACACCACCCCACACATCAAAAGAAAAGGCTTCCAAACCTTCTTCCCCGGTCCCCAAAACCGGAATTTTATATTAAACTATCCTTTGTTTACACTTTTTTTCTTCTCCCGCGCCCAAGAGACATTTAGCCCCTCTATATTACACTTTTTTTCTTCTCCCGCGCCCAAGAGACATTTAGCCCCTCTATATTACACTTTTTTTCTTCTCCCGCGCCCAAGAGACATTTAGCCCCTCTATATTACACTTTTTTTCTTCCCCCGGGCCCAAAAGACTTTTACCCCCTCTATATTACATTTTTTTTCTTCCCCCGGGCCAAAAAAACTTTAACCCCCTCAAAATAACATTTTTTTCTTCCCCCGGGGCCAAAAAAAATTTAACCCCTCTAAATTAAACTTTTTTTCTTCTCCCGGGGCCAAAAAACATTTAACCCCTCTATATTAACCTTTTTTTCTTCTCCCGGGGCCAAGAGACATTTAACCCCTCTATATACACAATGTATTCATGCGCAGTCGCATATTTACCTTAAGCACCTCAACAATAACATTACTGTCTATCGCACTAGTTTCATTATATGAATACCCCTACATACAAGGTATACGTATATTGGCTATCATTCCTCGAAATAAAACCCCCGGATTAAGGATACACTTATTTGTACCTGCTTTCCAACATGAATATCGCCACAATACTTGTTTATCTCTTATTCTACCAACTCCCGAGAAATAAGCAACCCTTGTTAGTAAGATACTCCATCACCAGTCTCAGGCCCATTAACAGTTGGCGTACATAACTGATCTATATCTGGCATCTGGTTGTTTTTTCAGGCACATAACACTATTAAAGTTCATTCGTCTCTTTTTAAGAGGCCATCGGTTAATGTGTTCTATACATTCGTTCTATAACCATGCATCATTTGATTACAGGCATATACTTGCGGGTCTTTTTTTTTCTCTGTGGTCTCAGGTCCCCATTGATGATGTCTGCCAACTCAATGAAACTGGACTTACGTTCAAGCTGCTTACTTCGCGCATAGACTAAAAGGTGCTAATTAATTAATGCTTGACGGACATAAAATTTATAAAAAACTCACGACACTAAATTACGCGCACATGCACATGCACATGCACATGCACATGCACATGCACATGCACATGCACATGCACATGCACATGCACATGCACATGCACATGCACATGCACATGCACATGCACATGCACATGCACATACACATACACATACACATACACATACACATACACATACACATACACATACACATACACATACACATACACATACACATACACATGCACATGCACATGCACATGCACATGCACATGCACATGCACATGCACATGCACATCCTTCCCCTTCCCCTTCCCCTTCCCCATCCCCTGCACAATGACAAGCACCATCACCTGCACCAGCACCAGCACAATCACCTTGCCCTTCCCCTTCCCCTTCCCCTTCCCCTTCCCCTTCAACTTTCAGTTAATAGCTCATACCCCCCGTTAAACTATCAATAATCCGTATAGCCCCTAAACCTATTCAATCGTCAAAATCCGAGATGCGTGCAGTGATCTAACACGAGCCTTTAGTAAGTCCTAAGTATAGTAAATAGTCACAATTATCTATATTTCATATATCTTTCATATATCTTTCATATATCTATCATATATCTTTCATATATCTTTCATATATCTTTCATATATCTTCAATTTTCTAAATCATATATCCTTTATAGTTCATCGCACAACACAGTCAACAGTCAAAACTTGACACAGGACACAGCGCAATCTGTTAAGTTGTATCATGTATCTCATATATCTCATATATCTCATATATCTCATATATCTCATATATCTCATATATCGTATATCGTATACCCAAGTATACCTATAAACTCACCCTTATACC